AACATGTTTAAACTTACAGGGAGGTCCAGAAACATCTCAAGCCATTCCTACAGATTACTTGCCTCTCATTCCTCCTCAGATCTGACTAAAACCCAACCTAACAAGACAAGAAAAAGAAATTGAACATTACTTCCTCTGAAAAGGTAAACTTTGCATCTGCCAAGTCTGAAACGACAAGTTCTTTACTGCAGCAACCACTAATTCCTAATGCCTCGCCAACATTAACAAGCAAAGTGATGCTTCCAGCCATACCTTTAGAAACAATGTTCTTTTGGCAGATACCCAAACGTCCAAGATCCACTTTAATTAGTTCAAAGGCCAAACATAATACTTTGGAGAAACTTATTCTGAATTTAAATTCTAAACAGTGCTCTAAACTTGGATTCGATGGAACACCTTCACTGTGTTTTAACGCTTACAAACTGAACTGCTGCTTAAGGAACTACGTAACCAGTTATCCAATGCAGCAATTACCTAAATATGACCAATAATACCACAAGAAACAGCCTCTGCTTAAATAGAGAAACATAATAACCTTATACTATCCTATAGTCAAAAGTTTAGCGATAAGATTACTCCCTGCCTGGTAATTTGGAGAAAGCCAGGATGTACAATAATGCAAAGTCTGTGAATCAATGCACTACAAAAAAAAAAGTTACATCTGAAAAGGAAGGTGTAGTTTGTTTTTCAAATTACAGGACTACATTTATTTTAATGCAAGATTTCCCTTTAAATAATTCTTCCTTGGTGTCTTCGTGAATAAAAGCATTGGTGCACGGTTTTCTATAAAATTAAGAAATTAATCAGAAAAGCAAGAGACGTTTTATGAGAATTTCCAAGCTAGCTACAGTGCATTTCTTTATCTGATAGCTTAGAAGAAATATTTTGTCTGAATACAAACAGTGTGCTATGGCTCTGAGCTGTAGTTTAAGCTTTTGTCAGCTTGAGTAAAATTTTCTAATTTCCACTGAAAAATAGCGATTTTTAAACAGCGATCAAAAGCTGTGTTTTCCAGAGGTATTCTATGAGATACACACTCATTTAATCATTATAAAGAGCATGTAAACATCTCTCTCTTCAGAGAATGAAAATGTCGAAGACCAGTTACAGCAGTGCCATTTGAGACCTCCACCTCAGAAACACCGTACACATACCTCTTCATATTTTACCCACTGGTCTTTTGGAAGGATCTGATGTTTCAGGCTTAAGTCGAGTGCTCGCTTTATGCGAAATATTCTTTCATTGTAAATATCCTCTGGAAGTCTCTTCAGTGCTTCTTTTACATCATCGTCTTCATACAGTGTATCATCTCGCATTAATCCTGTACCAAGAAGATTGCACAATATCACTGAATAAATGATCTTAAGTAAGATTTAGGATTGACACAGGTTTTTCTGTGTAACATGGGCATAACACTTCCAATGCAAAATTATGAAGAACCAAACCAATCCAGAAGAAGAGAACCACTAATTGCTCACAGAGAACAAACTGGCTTTCACATACTCTACTGACTTGGTTTTAGTCCTTTTCTTAAGGAGGAATAGGGAAAATGGGTATCTAATTCAAGGTGTTTTGCAAGAGTACAGATATACACAGAACAATAACTATTCTGGATCTGAGGGGCGGACTTATGCTCATCTAATTTTATATCTGTATTTAAGATGACTGTCTAGGTAAAGGGCTTAAGAGCTCTGAACCCATTCAAGTCAGTCAACCACAGATGTGACTACTTCACTACTGAGGAATTATTCTCTAAACTCCACTATGCATAAGGACTAGATCTCCATTGACTATATTAAGCTATGGAAACCTGAAGTTAGATGTCTGTGCACAAGTTGGTTCCCTTCTGCACCACACCAAATCAGAAGTTAAATTGGGGAGAAGCACCTAGTCTTCTCAAAGCCAAGAACACCCTCGCACTGTGGAACAAAGGATTCCTGAAATTCAACCAACCCTGCTTCAAGTTTCAGTATTAACAACATAGGACAAAACATTACTTCTGTAACATTGTAAGACTTATGCAGATAATACGAGTATACCTACTGCCCTGTGGTCAAAGGTTGTGATCTCATGTGACTGAGGTGGCAGTAGTCTCCCAGTAAGCCAGAAATTTCTTCTGAGCCACATATTCTTGAATTCAGTTTTGTAATTTATTTCAAAGGCAGAAGGAGCGTGGCTGCTAGCTTAATCGCTAGAGTAAATTCAGTGTTTCCCCTCAGTTTTCAGCCTCATTCCCAGAAAAGCAGCAAAGAAGTATTAATGCCTTTAAGAATTTCAGCAGACAGGTATAAAACGAGGGACTAAGCACTGCATCTCTGGAGGAAAGACTTAAGCTTATTCCTCTACAGCTGTCTTGCAATTTTTTTTTTCTAACTTCCCCAGGGCAGGTATGTTAACTTCCTTTAAATCATTCGCTCAGACTGCAGCCAGCTTTGAGCCTCCAATATTCAGATTCTCTGGTCATTCAAGAACAATTCTGCCATCTAAATAGTTGAAACAAACTTGGTGTCAACTCTGAAAGAACTGAAGACAAGACCATCAAGGCGACCTCCTCTACTTGAAGAAACACTATTTTTACACCCACTTCACCACTGTGCAGGCCAGACAGACATCAAGTGAAGCTATGGCGAGACAAAGGACAGAACTAACGAAATCCTTTTTTGCACTTTGGATACTCTACATAAGTATCACTGGCAGACTGACTGCTATCAGTGGGAATCTCTCCAGCTTCAAGGGCAGCCTTTGGGTTACAAGATACTGGCTGGTGAAAGTGACTTGGTGGGAAAAGATAAATAATCAAGCTTTCAGGACCACTTTGTGAAAGTTTTTTCAACTGTCCCAGCTTAACCATAGCCGTTATAAGTCATTTCACTGAAAACAAGAGCAAACACAGGAATAACAGAAAAGTCACAGATTCATTACCAGGTATCAATCATGATGACTGAAGCTATTGCTAACTTTTCTCCCACAAAAGCAGTAGCTAATCTTGATCAAAAAGACTTATGCCAAACTGCACATACACACACCATGCATGGTTCGTAACTGGTTTGAGCATTGTTACATTCGCAGAGTTTTTAAAACTCAATGAGACACTTACCGAGTTTGTTGAATCCAGCTGCATTGTAATACCACTTGCGAAGCCTGTCTAACAGGCGACCACCTCCTGCAACTGAACGTGACCATCATCAGTTGCAGAGCAAGACAAAATTCAACATTTACACGCTGCTATGGCAGTACCCAAATATTTGCTGGCCTCCTTCACATTGCAGTAATGCAACACTACATCAAGTTTGAATCTCAACGTGTGTGACTTGGCCTCTCTGGTTTTCAGTGTCCCTTAACTGACAATGAACAGGCAGAATGAGTGCTTGTTGCATACAATAATCTGACCTCTGTTTCACTAAATTTGAATATTGGACTGCTTTAAGAGTTGGAACAATGCTAACAGTTCATTGCACCAACACTTTTAGGCTCCATAACTCTTACCTGAGCTAAAACCACAGCATTCTACATAAAGTGAAACCATCATGCTTTTGAAACCATTTATCTAAGTTCCACAGCTCTTGCTATGGGTTAATTCAATTTCAAGGCCAGCATATTATTATGTTGTTAACCTTCTGCTCTCCTCTCCAGTTATTAAATACCATTCCAGAGCCTCCTTTTTCAAAGAGCTGCCAAAGTCAACTGGAAAGTCAACATTGAAACCACAAAAAAAAAAAAATTAATGACTTTAAAAAGAAAAAATAAAACACATCACACATAGAGCACCCATCTTATCTGTGATCCTGGATAGGAGAAGAACATAATGTACGTGTAATCAAGTACAATGCAGTACCAAATACCATTAAAGTAACTCAACAAAGGGTTTAGAAATCCAGGCATGGCGCAATATGGGCAACGCTGCCAGGGCAAGCCATCTCTCATGACTTTAAGTCAGTTGCCTTACTAAGTCACCCCCATAAAGCCAGTGCCACGTGTGATATGGGTATGCCATTAGCACACCACCTCATCAGGCCTTATTCCTGCGTACTTTAGGCCTGGAGAAAGGAACAACGTTAAAGCAGCCAAGCCTGGAGCCAGCACCCGGGCAGGACAGCCACCCCTGGGGAGCAGCCCCGCGGCC